TGGTGGCATCCACCGAGAAACCACTTGAGGAGCGTGGCGCAGGACATTTCGGTCCCTAGCCTCTTGACTGGTGCCAGCATGAGCACTGGCACCAGTGCTACCCCGATCCCTTGAGTTACTTCGCTCGTGGTGATGTATTACCACCATCCTCACGCGTCCTATAGTTGGATGGACTTGCGTGAAGCGGTACTCATCGGAATGATCACTCGAACCGAAAATCTCAGTCATTATACCGCCGCGATGACCAGAGCCGGTCAACCTGGCTCTTGCAGTGTCCACCCCGGGTTATTTTGAGGCATGAGGAGTCGCCTCCAAGTCGGATGCATCATCCGACTCGCCAGAATAGATGAGCTCTATCTCAGACTCGTCTTGATTACGACCCGAGGTACCCGCTGCAGACGCAACGTATGTATCTGTCGCACGTAATGACTCACCACGTGGAGGATTCACGACAACAGGCGACGAATCGCCTGCTGAGGCGTGAGAAGCAATTTCCGCAGCCGCACGCATGCGTGCAGCTGCCATTCTTGCTGCAGCAGTAGCAGCTCGCGTGGTTTTGGAAACCATGCGTTGGATTGGCAAATGAATGGGATTTGACCAACAAGTGCTCCCTTTACCAGAGTGATCCAACGGTGGTCACCCTGTCCCAATCAATTCTAATTCAATCAACGGGTGATTAATGGTTAAGGAGGGATGATATAACGGGGTAGCCCGTTACACGATATTGACTCAAACGGTGTCAACAGGGAGATTGTCTATGATGACATTTTTTCACCAATATTATTCAAGATGGATATTATTGAAGGGATATTATTTCATTTAAATAATATTTATGCGATGCTCCAAGATTGGTTGATATAAGACATATCAACCATAAATTGCCACCAATTGCTGCTAGACGCGCGCAATGAGTGGTGAGCAGGTTGTCGTCATACGACGACGTGGTTTAAGATAGTTAGATAAAGATATATTGATAGCTTAACTATGTTAAATACAGTTCTCTTTTAACCTTTTACTTAATCGAGTCGTATAAGTAGATAAGCTTCCTCTACACGTACTAGTGTACGTGAAGTTTCGTGGCACCTAGACAAAGGGTGCCCCGTTACACGCGTCTTACCTATCAAGGTGTCAGAATAACAACCAATCAGGTGACGTCGAAGCTTACCTGTAACAGGTCTTGCAGTTGACTCCCTCATTTTTGACGACCTGTGGGAAGTGTCAAAATTCTAACAGCGTCTACTATGCAATTTGATATCTGATCGTTGTAGGTCATCGTATGGTGGTTCACATGACAAACGTTAGTTGCTTGTGACACGAGTACTCATCAAAACTTAACAATCACTCCCATCTTATACATTGCCATGAAAAATAAACGCTGCGCTAACTTACACATGAAGGAGACACGACCGCGTGACGAAAATCCAATCAGATTTATGCTTTCGTCCATTCACGGTTTCCTCTATTTTCACATCGGTCAGACCAAGTGCATTGGTAGTCTTGCAACCTGAGTCTTGAGGAAACTCTCACGTGTACAAAACAATCGAAGTAGCGGACTAGCGCAATGTTGACATGCCTTGCTTTTTCGACTTCAATATTTACGTAGAACAAGTCTGCGAACGTGGGCAATGACAAAGGAGCGATTCACGAAACCCTCGTGGCCGTTGATTGCTGCCGAAGCTGCTTTGTCTGGTCTGTATTGACATCGACATTCTTGCGATTATACAATCGATTCAGCGCCGCCGCGGTGAAACGATCGTGGGGTTGACTGAATAGGCACGGCCGCTGACATACATTTTACAGAAAGTGTGTGCTCAAAGTAGCGACGAACCATCCTCTCTGCATTATCAGAGAAGGCAATGTTCTAAAAAAACTACACTTCACTACTTTAAACCACGATCGCGATCAATGTGAATTGCGTCAACTCCAAGCGTGATAATGCGAACGAGATGAGGGTAGGCAAGTGGCTCGTAAATGCATTTGCTTTGCTCACTGCAGCTGCGACGACGAGTGGACGATAACTTCGGTGCGTTGGTGGTAAACAGGCCGTTCCATTCCGATCAACGGCAGCCGTCGTGACCAACATTTCGATGCTACGAAGACCGAAGGCTCGTGAGTACATCGTTAGCTTTTGGAAGATTTCCAACATCTTTGCACTGCATTTCAAGCGACGTGTACACCAGGTTCACGCGTGATGCCGAGAACGAACTGCTTCGCCTCTTTTGCACGAATCGAGCGATCTACATGAGGCAGCGTGGTTGCGACCAAACAAGCAAACGAATGCATGAACATTGCATTCACTCTGGACAGGCGACGTGAAACAACGTTTCGATGCAAGGAATCCAGATCAGCAGGAAAGTCGCAACACACTAGTGTCACCATGCTTGCCCCATGAGTGCAAGGTACTACTTTTTCCAGGAGAAAAGGACCTGATTATCCTCCTAGTCACGCTTTTCCGGTACCCAATTGCCCATATAGAACATCTTGAGGGGAACTACCGATCGGGAGCGTGTAATGTTAGTAAAAACGCGCTCTCCCCTGTTTATTCTGGATGAGCCTTCGTGTGCATCAGAAGCTGCGAATTGCAGCACATTGCTATTCGTGGCACCTTTTGTACCTTCCAGCGAGCTCACAGAGTGCCTATCTAAACCAGTCTACTACATGATTGCTAGATCGTTGGTCATGGCGTAAACTGGCAGCAACGAATCTTCATCCCCGCGCTTTGTGCGTGCTGCGTCTTTTTTGATATTCAGAACACAGAAGAACACGAGCAGCACCTCGAAGTGATTGCGTATCCTATCGTCATCTACAGCCAGGTCCACCCCGTTCGATGCTGTCTACTGCAATCCCTGTGGTCTTTAGCTCGCAAAAATCGAAGCCGATTTGGGTGGTGGGCTTTCTTCGTCCAACTTTTCGGTGAGGAGACTGGCGCAATGGGTTGCAACAAGCGCACAGTGGTCGGATAAGTCCGTCTCGTGCTGAACAGTGAGCGGGCAGGACGTGCAGTCGATACTACCACCGAGTGAGTACTTGAGAATCGCGGTCGCAAATGCTTGACAGCGCTTTGTGTCCAAATCATTAGGCCAAAAAGACGCGTGTAGGGCCAAACGCGTTGTTTTTATCCTAGACTTAGCGTAGTTCGCAGTCGATGTGCGCAATTTAGGACGATTGTTGCCGGGATGTCATGTTTCGGCTGTGGGTATCGATAAATTAGTTGATGACATGCACAAAGGCTGTGCAGTATCGTGGAAAATAAATTAGCTAGCTCACATTACACGTGTCGTATAAGGAGACTGACTGGCTACGGTCAATGCGATCCTCGCGTGGGTACATTCTACCTCTAATGGTTGGCGTGGTTGTTGTAAAAGCAATACCTAACACTCTTCTTCTTAATGTACGAGCAGTGTCAATTGTGATAGTTACCATGGAGCATGTGTGTGCTTCAGTGTAAGGTGTTGTGACAACTTTTGCTGCAGACACTTTTATTCACACGAATGAGTCGAAGCTGTTCGTAGTTCATGTCGACATTTCGTCTCAAATGCTTGAGGATGTAAAGCCAAAAAAGTGACTTTCGTTGGCTTGGTGACTCGATTTACGTGCTTTGTGAAAACAAAGACACCAATTTGCGAACTGAGGGTACACCGCGTATGGGTAAGTCCTTTCTTCACGACGCAATGAACGCGCTCACGAGTTAAGAAAGTGTTATATACCTCCCATGAGTGACTCGCTGTAGAAAGCACCCTGACGTCTTGTCTATCAGAGGCTTTTACGCTGCTCCTCGAGCGTATACTTTGTCAACTTGTCCGTGCACATTTCAGCAGCTGGACGTCTTTTTTGCTGCGACATGCGTGACCCCACGGCAGAAGCGGAGGATTTGATTACGGAGATGTGCTCTCACCAAGAGCGTTATAGCATAACTTGCTACGATATATGAGCCCACCTACGAATAGAACACGAAAGAAGAATATGGTTGTTACGCACTCGACGTCCGCGTCGGACCGTCGCCCGGGAAATTGCAGCGATTGATCTGGTGGTGGGCAGTGCGTGTTGCCTGGCTAGATGGGCACATGCACAGCCTCGTAGACCATGCATTAAGAAAAGATAGCTTTACACATCAAAAGTCGGAGCAGGTCTGATAGCCCCTGATTGGCAGCGACCTTGTTGTCCTATCTTCTGCAAAAAAGTGTCACGTTGTAGCTCCCCATCGGCAGCATGACGACCAGCGCCAACGTAGCTTGCTATTCCACCGGTGCCCAAACTCGTACATCCAATGACTGCTGGCTCAAATGGTAGACTTTTGCTCACAAGCCATGATTCGAGACGACCTGCGTGTGCGACGCTGCCACGATATACCCTAGAATTTCAGCAAAAGCAAGTAAATGTAGCACCGATACTACAGAAAAGGTCCATAATGCATGCAAATAAAATTCGTGTTGTGTGGCTCGTGTCCACCTCGGACAGTAGGGCCTGGACAAAGCAATAGACACTGCAACCGTGCAGTCGAAACGTAGAGGTGGGCACGCGAATTGACTGCCAGCATTGCTTTCTCACGCCCTGTCTCGGCTGTCGTCCGCACGTCTCGGACCATGCGATGTTTTCTCTATTTCACAATTACGCGAGTAAAAAACGTGGCGGAGCCGACTTCTGGCAGGTTGAATTTGCCGTTCACTGGCTCGTTTCTGGTCGTGCTGGTCCTACCTGAATTTTTGTCGGTCGCATCCGGTGATCCGTTTCTCTGCGCGCGTGGCCGACCTCCAGTTAAGTAGCGGGTGGCGCGATGGCAAAGCGTCGTCCAATCACGAGGCTCGAGCTCGCGCCCATCGATTGGCCGACACGCTGTGTGCCGCCCTACCCCTGGTCGCACGCGCCCACCTCCCACTTCCCGACAAGCTCATTTCTGCTTTTTCATCGCCCAGTCGTCTCGGTCCCAACCGCGAGAACAGAAGAATAGCACAAGCAAGAAAAAGCCCGTTTCCATACAAACTTCAAGTCAACGGGTCACAATGGGTGACAACAAGATGCGCAAACGTCCAGCTCCGCTGGGCCTCGAGAGCAGCAGCAGCACCGCCACCGCCAACAGCAGTGGGGGCAACGGCTTTGCCGCGCCCGTGTTCCTCCAGAAGACGTACGACATGATTGAGAGCTCGCCGCCGGCCGTCGCGTGCTGGAGCGAGGCCGGCGCGTCGTTCATCATCAAGTTGCCGCGCGAGTTCGCCAAGACGATGCTCCCGCGCTACTTTAAGCACAACAACTTCAGCAGCTTCGTGCGGCAGCTCAACTTCTACGGGTTCCGGAAGCACAAGAAGGACGAGATCGTCATCTCCACAGAGGAGGACGAGAGCAAGAACTGGTGGGAGTTTTACCACGAGAAGTTCGTGCGGGGCCGACAGGAGCTCATGGCGCAGATCCGACGGAAAACGTACTCGGAACCGGCGTCCCCCGACCATGAAGAGGTCGAGACGCTCAAGCAGTCGGTGCAGAGTCTGCAAGGCCAAGTGTCGGAGCTCATGGGACAGCTTTCGGACTTGACGGGACTTGTTAAGAGTCTGCTCCAGGACAAACCCATGGCCGGCCCGCCGTTGTCGGTCTCGACGTCGGCTCAACGCGCGCCCAAGCGCATCAAGATGAACGACCCGTCCGTGTCCAGGATGGCGCTCGCGGGTCCTCCTCCGCCTCCTGCCACTGGTCTGCAGGACGCCTATGCGTCGCATTTGGAGCACGTGCAGACGTCACAGCTGCGTCAGCCGCCGCTCAATATGATGCTGGACCCCATGTCCAAGAGCCAGAGCCAGCGGACACGAGAGATGTCGCTCATGGAGTGGACCGAGTCGTACGGCATGGACTACCTGTTGAACGACTCGGGACGGCAGTGCCCGCTCTTTGCCGAGGACATGCTTAGTTATGACTGAGTGGGGAGACTGCGTGTGTGTGTAAAGCCTCTTGTGCTTTTTGCTCGATGTGTGTGGAAAGGAAGCGATGGAAGCACTGGGAGGCTTTACGCGGCGGAGGCGGCAAGTGTACGTGACGAGGGGAGAAGACGTAACAAATCCATTTATACATAGCGAAGAGGGTAGGCAGGAACCACCTCACTACTACTACTACCGCATCAGCAAGCAAACGGCTTTGTCGAAAGGAAACGGTAGAGATCCAGGAGGCGTTTTGCAACGACGGGACAAGACGAGCGAGCGAGCAGCTGGCTGGAACCTCACTTTAGCGAGAAGGAAGGCGCACGTACAGTGGGTGTGGTGGTGGCATAGTGGGAACGTGAGGATCTAATCGATAGGCGAAAATTCGGTCTTTTGTGCGAGCAATTGCGAGGGCAGATGTGGTTTTTTTGTGGGAGTTTGGGGCTTCTTCCCACATAGCATGACGTAGTACTAGCACCTGAGATTGGTCATTGCTGCAGGAGAGAGAGGCACTCTTTCTTACGCTTATGGACATGACCCGACGACGACGACAGTCGGTCCATTACTATTGGAACGTGCACATTCCGAGTCGAGCGTGGCATCGAACGACCTCCGAGGCGATAGTAGGATCAAGTGAAATAGCGCTCCGTCTCCAGTCGATGGACGGGGCGGCTCGTTTGAAGGTTTTCCTGAGGCATCAGGGAGAGTCTCCGATGGGCTAAGGGGCTGGGACTTGGTGCGTCGCTCCTGCTGCTATAGGCCGAGCAGATGGGGGTAAAAGTGATACAGATGCCACTCGGCCAACGGAAAAGCCAGGGCGACTCTCTTGCTTAAGTTGCAGAACAAAAATCGGTATATTTATCGAAGTAACAACCAGTAGCTCTTCGGCACACCTACCGACATTTGTCACATGCTGTTCCATCAAAGACGCTTCGTTGCGTATCCTTGCGGCGCACCCGGTCTACTCACGCTCAATGCCTCCTCTTCTTTATTCTCTTCTTCATGCAGGTACTGTTGACTGTGATAGATAGATCAACGTGTAGATGCACGGAGGGATACAATCTCTTCTGGCAGTGGTATTGAAGCGTTACATTGACCGCGACTTCGTTCATACTATACTCGACATTGATAGGTATACGCTCGTCACGACCGACCGATGCGTGGCCCTGCTAAGCTACGACGCTACCGGCTACAGTCTACAAAAGCTCGAAGTCGACGCTTTGTCTACTGAAGAAGTGAACGTGATCGCCAGTGCGGTCGTTGAGCGGCCAGACACATGTCCTTCCCAAGTGGCGGTGGCGTATGCGGTCGGGGAAGCACTTTACGTGCAAGTTTTAATCCCTTACAAAGAATCAGTGGACCATGCGGAACCACTGGGTGGTGGAGAGTTCAAGTTGCAGACAGCACCAACGTGCATGTACAGTATCCAGGCCTCCGGGACAAACGGGGACGTGTTTTACGGCGTCATTGTGTGCTGTACGGACTCAATGCTGGCCATTGGGTACATCAGAAACCAGATGAAAGCCGGCTCGAGGGTCTCGGTGGAATCGGATGCTGTTTGCACACTACTGGATAATGATCAATTTGCTGAATTCTTCCCCGAGTTTGCGACGTTCACACACACGATAATGGCTGTGGATATCCTCACGTCTCCAGAGACAGATCAAGGATGGATTGTTTTCGGTTGCGCTGACGGGTAAGATCAGTGTTACTGTAATCAGTGCTACTGTATGCTTGAAAGACTTACTGCTGTTTGTTATGAGGGAGCAGACTGGTCCGCGTGTATCATGGACAGAAACTCGGACGGTGCCTCTGTGGCCCCTTCAAGGTCAAAGACATTCAGCTGAATGGTCCTGTGACTTCTGTTGCCCTTTTCCTGAAACGATCGGCTATGGGAGAAACGACTAGCTCAACCTGGCACTGCAATCTACTAGTCACGTGCGCGATTGGCCAAGCGCTGGTCTATGAAGATTTGTTCGGTGCTTTCGATCGCATTGGAAATGGCGAGGTTCTGATGGACTCGGATGCATTCGACTCGATCTTCGCGGGTATTACCGCCGACATTGACTTGGTAAGCAGGCTTCATATTCGCACACCTGGACTTGTAAGTATGCTTACCTGCATGTGTGTATGCGATAGGATGGAGAAGTTGAATTTCTGTTGGGAACAGACAGTCAAGTTATGTTGGCATACAAGGAAAAAGGTGACGATGACAACAGCAGTTGCAAGGCCATGGAGAGCTCGATCGAGCTCAGTGTCGATGAAACGTTACCTGTAAACGAAGATGCGCCATCTCTGTCGCCCAAAAGCTCACAGAATATATGGGATGATCTGGAGATGATTCCGGTGGCAGATACCTTTGTTGCTTCATCGCCAGAGCCTGTGCTGGTACAAAGAAAGTGGCAACGGTTGTCTCGAAGTCATTGGGACATGGAGACGTTTGGCGCAATCTACAGTTTGTTGTGGCGAGATGTCAATCACGATGGCGTCCCCGAACTGCTTGTCGCGAGCTCGACCGGGATTTACGTGTACGAAGCTGACCCAGAATTTGTCATCAAAAAGCTCGAGTGTGTCTTGTCAGCATTGCAAGGATCCCCTGTCAATACAAATAAGTAGTCACAAACGACAAAAAGCATCATCTTTTCTACGTACTATCAAATCAATCGCGCCCGTCAACTGAATACAACACGGATGAGCATGTCAAAGCGATGCCTGATTGGTCAATAAGTCGCAAAATCTATCACGTCACACAGCTGCTCTCTTATCGCTTGTTAATCAGCAATATGCACGCCATGCAGTCGCTCTACTCCGTACAACGGCGACACTTACGCGCTCAACACGCTGCACGCCTTCTATCGATCGGAACGATACCAGGAAATGATGGCAACTCGTTTCTTACTGCTACAAGCGTGGGGTCAACGGCAGACGCGATGCCGGGACTCTTTCTGTTGCCAAATTTGCACATTCCGTCGGACTTTTCGAAAATCACCCGAAACGTCAAATTGCATTGCCAACAGCTACGCCAGGAGGTGCGATAGCACTATTTTTGGATCACTGTATAGTGAATACCACACAATTTGTGATTTTCATTTCTAGTAATCGTACTTTACAACTCTAACATTGCACTGTTAATTTCTGCAATTTGCGTCCACCGCTAGTGCAGTTATTAAGGTCTTCTCCAGGACTGCAGACGCTGCGCACGTTGGATGATATTTCGAATGTCATTTGCTCAGTCATTGATGCGTCTGAGCTTTGTCGCAATGTCCATCCCGACGAGTAGGCGATAAAATCTCGATGTTTTTATGTGTTTGATGAAAAGTGGGGAGGAAGTAGAATCTCTAACATTTATTTTTTGACGGTGCAGGAACTTCCGACGGGCAGCGAGTGAGTGTTATACTGATCTCTCCAACTTTATTCAGACCTTGAATACAGATGTGGAGTTGTTTCAGTCGTTGAAGACAGTGATGGAAGACAAAATTGCCACGGAAAGCTTTACACCAGAGCAAAAGAGGATGGGAACGTTGTTGCGTAATGAATTTGAGCGTGATGGCATCCACTTGCCTCGTGCTGATCGACAGCGAGTGATTTCGCTGCAGAGGGATATCACCCAACTGAGTATGCAGTTCCAGTCTACCATGTACAAGGCAAGGGAGTATGTGGAAATGCCAGCTAAGTACATGCGCGGTATGCCACATAGCATCACGTCTGTGTGTGAGCGCAAATGGATGAGCCGTGACACATTGAGGGTCCCGACGGATATGCACGTCATGAACACAGTCTTAAAATGGGTTGGCGATCCTGAAGTTCGACGAAACATGTACATTGCTGCAAATTCGTGCGCAAAAGATAACCTTCCGGTGCTGGATAAGCTGCGAGCGAAACGACATGAACTAGCTCGATGTTTGGGATTTCCTACATTTGCCCATTTGGCGACAAGGTACGGAATTTGGCATGCATCACACCATATTGTTCTTATTGCTTAGCATGTACGCTAATTGGTTGACAGTGACCGTATGATTGGATCCCCGGAGGCTGTCGAAGCTTTTACTCGAGACATTGCTAGAGAGCTCATGACAAAGGTATGTGGGATATTTGTGCTTCTAGATCCCGCTTGTTACTGCATGTTTCTCACTTTTTCGTTCAGGCCAAGACGGAGCAGCAGCTTTTGCTCGCTGCAAAGCGCAAACATGAAGGAAGTTCTGTCAACCATGTTTACATGTGGGATTTGCCATATTACATGGGCATGCTGAAAGCCCAGAAGTACGGGATCGACTCGCGCGTGATTGCTGCATACTTTCCTCTTGAGAACTGTTTAAAAGGACTGCATTTGCTATGCTCAGCATTATTTGGTCTGGAGTTGAAGCAGGTACCGATGATCAATTCGAGCGAGTGCTGGCACGAAGACGTGGTGAAGCTCGCCCTCACACGAAACGGTGAGACATTAGGATACATGTACTTCGACTTGTACATCCGGCCGAACAAGTACAACCACGCAGCTCACTTCACCATACGCTGCGGCAAGCGCTTAAGTGACCAGTCGTACCAGAAACCAGTCGTGGCACTTGTTTGCAATTTTAACAAGCCCGCGCCGGACAGCCCATCGTTCCTGACGCACGCTGAAGTGGAAACTCTTTTCCACGAATTTGGTCATGCGATGCATTCGTTGCTGTCTCGAACTGAGTTTCAGCATCTCTCGGGTACACGTGCGTCTCTGGATTTTGTGGAGACGCCATCACATCTATTTGAGTATTTCGCGTGGGACTACCGCGTCGTAAGGGAGTTCGCCCACCATTATCGGACGGGCGACCCAATGCCTGCTGATATGATGCAAGGGTTGCGTGCTTCCAAGACAATGTTCGCCGCAATGGACACACAGACTCAGTGCTTGTACTCGATGCTGGACTTGCGCCTTTTCGAAGAGCAGCCTTTGCCTTGCAGCCCTCCCACCACTACGCAGATGCTGCATGAGCTGCAGAACTCCAGTACATTGGTGCCTCACGTGGATGGCACGTACTGGCATACGCGTTTTGGGCACTTGATCGGCTACGGTGCTGGCTACTACAGTTACTTATACGCTCGCGTGTTTGCCGCCGATATTTGGCACACACACTTCAGCAGTTTCCAGGGTCCATTGAATCGCGACGCAGGCGAGAAACTGTATCAGAAGTTGATGGTGCACGGCGGGGCCAAGGATCCAAATGATCTGCTGGTCGACTTGCTCGGCCGTGAGCCTTCTCCAGCAAGTTACCTCCACGAATTGGGCGTTTAGAAAGCCATTAGTCCACCCCGTAAAAATGCATGTACAAGAGAAGAGCAGGCACTGACGAATCCACACGGCAGGTACCAGATTCGTCAGCATCAACAGATTGCATTTCTCGTGCATTACTAGCTGCTCATCAGAGCTGCTCATATAAAATAGCTAGAGCAATGAAAAACTCTCAACATCAAACGTAAACATCATCATCAGTAGCAGACGGAGTGCTTGGGTCCAACCGGATGCGAATAGCAGGCGGCAAACAGCGCAGAAAGATAGTATCGGTCTGCCAGGCGCCAAGTCGATTGTCCGACCTGTACGTCAGGCTATTGCACAACGCAGCAGGCTGCGCACGGAGCTCCATTTTTGCCCGCATTATCCGGATTGGCAGCCGTCATGTCTACGTGATGCATGCCCATCTTTTCCGCGTACATAGAGTTGGTAGGAGTGGAAGCTGCTGAGCTGCAGACACTATCTGTCTGGTCCAATGAGGCTCCATGACCGACCATTTGCTTGTTCGCCTCCAGCGGCTTTTTGACCATGCCACCTGCTTGACGCCACAGCAGCGCATCGACCCAAAACGCAGCTTCGTCATGGGAACACGCTTTGATAGTATACACACGCTCGTTCAGCTCAATGGTGAAAAGACCAGAACCATCTATTTTGCAGCAGGAAAAGGATACAAAAACCGTAAGAACGTAGTGAGCGAATGAGAGTACCACCTTAATATGCACAAAATCTGCATCTTTTACCAGCGTGGTCTTCCGGGAGCAGCGTAATGACACCAACTTGGGGCAAATTGAGTGCTGCCAGTAGTTTCTGACCTTGTTTCTGCAACAACAATCAGTAGTACACAAGCACCCAATTAGCTGTAAACAGCAGCAGGCACCACACCAAATAGTAGTCCTACCACATGTATTGCCAAAGAATGGAATTGTTCGAGTTTCTCATACCTTGTAGTATGTGAGGAAGCAGCCATTTGTCTCGAACCACCGCTTCTGCCACTTGCCTTCGCGCGTTTTTTTCATCAAATAACCTGCGAATCACAGTAAAATACCGTCCAATCGACGTTTTAACACCTTTCCGCTGCAAATAAAGCCATAGAACCCAAAGCACGCACCACGAATCTCCTCCGTGCGAAAGTTCGATGCGCCTGCGGTGCCAATCTTATTCGACGGCGACGAAGCGCGAAGTTTGGTGTCCATGCGGTCGGCCATCCTGCGTGCTTCAGCTTCTTTTGTCTAGCTGTAGATCGGTACTGTCTATTGGGATTGGGACACTGTAGGCGGGACAGAGAGAATGTTGGGTACACTGCGACCAAATATTAGTGAAAGTAACGGCACGGTTTAGCAACGATGGCAATTGTTGATAAAAAGGACGGGACAACGAGCCGAAAAAAACTCATGGACCCTGATTTTGTCGACGTGCAAAAAATGAGAGAGTTCGATGGGTCCTCGAGTGCATAAAACGCTCTAATTAGAAGGTCAAATGCGACTTTTTATGGAAAAAGGACTTCCTCTCAAGTCATCGTCTTTACAGCTTCAGATCTGTCCAACTTTAACTCCGGGTAACCACCCGCTTGTGCTTGGTCCTCCATTATGTTGGTGACTGACGCGTCTGGTAGTGCTGATCGTTCCCAATCAACAACACGAGCTCCTCAAGACGCTGGCGATCAATGTGCGGCTGCATTTGCCACGATGCCAGATACACCGTCATTGTCTCGTGTCTCGCACACTCAAAGATATCGCTAGCGATCAGGGACTTGGCCACAAGCTCGTGCTCGTACATCGCCAGCACCTCCAATAGCATCAGCTCTAACAACAGCACATAAAGGTAGCACTCAGCTCCTTGCCGCCACCTCGAGCAACGTTACTGACGAACCATATCGTTGGCTACGTTTCCCTCCTGATGTATTTGCCACATTATCCCGCAACAATTGCCGCATTCGTGCATAAATGTCCGCCTACACCTCCAGCATCAAGATCAGGAACGATAAAAATCAACTCGGATGCAAGAAGCAACACAACCGTAAAAGCAACGGAACAATAGGACCGAGAACTGCCACTCTGCAGCAATTGACGCACCAACTTATCGACTTCACTTTGCAGTCTGTTGCAGCAGCGATGGGCCAATTCCCATAGCTACACGATCAACATAGGGCCACAGGACCAACCGACCGACCGATGATGACAGACACACGATGCCTTATTACCCTTTCTGAACTGTATTGAGCTACAATATCCCCATTGCCCACCCGGGACGTCGCACGACATTTCAATTGCTCGCAATCGGCCAGCGATCCCCAATGGTCTCCCGTGAGGTATCTAAGAAGTGCAACGCATGCGATGCAGGACGAGTAAGTACCTCGGCTACATACACATGGACTATCTGTCCACCTCTTACAGCAACGAGAACTCACGTCGTCTTCTGCACGCTGTCTGCAGCCTTTGCAAGTTGCTGCTGCCCCCGAGCGCAGCCTTCTTGCCACTCGAGATCGAGCTTCTGCCACGGCTGGAGCCACCAGCAAGTAGTGCGTGCTGCCATGAATCGTTGAGCTTTGCGAAAACTGTGTTTCGGCATGGTTATGCTTTCACGTAGGTTCATGTGTCATCACTGCAGGATTATGACGTCGTTTGTCGAATTGACTTTACCATGAAATGTTTGGGACAAAATAAGTGATTGCGCATGATGCGAAGATTGATCACAGATGGGTGGTATGTATCTAGTGCCACGACGGTCTGGACGAGCTACAAAGGACGTGCAGACACGTGGATAACAAGTCCCTGTAGTATCCATTTATTGCTCGACAATGTATGTTCTTGTCGTTACTATAAGCTGTCACTGCCTCACCCTCTCGTTCTGCATCCAGAGTCGACACTAAATGAAACCGTCTGGTAGGGCCAAGTCCAGTGCGCACATTGCAATTTTATCTTTTCCGCTCCCTTTCTGCTGACAGTTGCAATTCCGTCGGCCACAACATATGTGCAACTCTACAACCATGTGTCTCTGCAGGCGTGCATGCTGACGCGCATCTCTATTGGTTGAAATGCTACGACTAGATTCGGACCCACTCGCTTGAACCGTCGCACGCATCTCTGAACAAGCGACATAGCCAGGACTCCTTAATTTAGGCGACATCAATGGCCTCATTTTGGGTCTCCACCGATCACACACTTTCGAGAGGAGTAACACAAGACGGGGAAAAAGACCGAAACAAAACATTCATTCTCTTGCGCGCCGTCACGGCCGTGAGGAAACTCGAGACCGCTGCTCTCTCATGGCCATTATCACGCAGACACAAGTAGATCAGATCGAACGGACGCTCCCATCTTCCCCACTGTCTTTACGGGCCACGCCATCAGCTCTACAAACAACGACGCGCACGACGCGCCGCACAGATACAACGACCAAGACGACGGCAACGATCAAGACGACGTCAACGTCAACGACCCATACGACGGCAACTTCAACGGAAACTTCAACGTCAACGATGCAAGCGACGGCAACTTCAACGTTAACGTCAACAATCACGTCACTGCCCAAGAAAAAGAAGAAGAAAAACGATGCGGCCACGAGCGCGCTCGTACTCGTGGCCATGATCTTTCTCGGCGTCCTCGTCGCTCTTGCTGTCATGGCGTTCTTTGCCTACGCGCCTCTACTCTGCGCGTCGTGGCTCGGCATCATGTACGTGATCGTCCTGTACCTCTCCACCGAGTCTAAATGGCGCTGGCACGACGCACAGGAGTTTGAAAACCGCTTTTGGACCGGCACGGCCTTTCTTTTCAGTGCGGCAGTGCTGTACATACGCGACTCGCCGCTCGCTGTCGGCCAGTGGAGCTCGACGCTCGGCCTCGTGCTGGTCTTCGGCTTCACCATGAGTGTGCACTATTTTGACCGCTTTTTGCACCGCCAGGAGATCAGTCGTCGGCCTCGTCTGAAAAAAGCCACGCGCCATTTGTCCCATAACTTGTTCAAGTACAAGGCCACGGCCAAAGAGAAGACGAACCTCCTGGTCGAGTGCGTCAGTCGCATTGACCGCCAGTATCTGCCCAGCACGATCAACAATATGCTGAACCTCGCAGAGGTCAAGCGGCGCGAGCACAAGATCTTTCGCATCCTCGCCGGTGCGGGGAAAGACGAGCTGAACTACGTGGTCAACCACATTCCACTCGCGCTGCTTTTTTACAAAGTCAAGGACCACTCGAGAGTGCGCGAAGACCAGAATCGGACGCTCATGCTTGACTTGCTGTGCACCACGCGCCTCGGCGATCTCTCGGTCATGTCGCGAGCGCTGCTGCTCGACGCTCTGATGGTCATGAAGATCAGTGCCCACCCCATGGCGGAGAAGTGGGTGCGCAATATCATTTTAAAAACACAGGGCGACGATCTCAGCAACTTGAAGACGTACACGGACGCCAAGGGCGACTTTCACAGTATGCACAAACTCGTGTTTAACGATATCCGCGACCCGACGATCCGGACCGATATCATCAGTCACATCCAGCGCGAAGCGAGTGTGCAGATTGCACACACGCGTCTTGGCACGAAGCGCGGGCGTAGTCGGAAGCTGCAGGCGTGGCGCAAGGTGCTCAGTGATGTGGACGACACGCTCTATTCGTCTGGTGGACGGTACCCGGCAGGGCTGGACACGCGCTTTCCTCGACATACTCTGTATCCTGGAGTCCTGGCCTTCTATCGGGAGCTGGACATGGGTACAGTTGGACCCGATGACTGGACTGACGATCGTGTTGGCAACCTCGTGTTCATCTCGGCGCGACCTCACGTGTACAAGGATGTATCGGAAAAGAAATCGTACGCGAAGTTTGCGGCGCTCCACGAGAAGATGGGTATGCACACGCTGCCTACGCTGCTCGCAGGAAACCTCAAGTCGGGTCGTGCTTTTATGTGGCAAGGGGACTTGGAGCCAATGGCGCAAAAGAAGTTTGAGAACTTCAGTGAATTCTACCAGCTCTATCCAGAGTTTAAACACGTGTTTGTCGGGGACAATGGTCAAGGCGACGTGCGTGCTGCCGAGCTTATTGTGGAGAAATTCGGCTCGGACGCTTTAGAAGCTGCATTTTTTCAACGTGTGCAGCCTATGGAGAAGATGTACAATTACCACTCGAAGGAGGACTTGGAGCGCTGGCGCACGATGAACATATTTTTCTTCGACACGTACGTGGGTGCTGCCGTTGAGGCTTTTCGTACGAAAAAGATTCGACTCAGTGGACTGCAGAAAATTTGTGATGATGCTGGGCGGTCGTTTGAGGGCATCCGTACGTGGATCACTCCCCAGAGTCGCGAACGTGCTCGATGGATGCTGAATCGTGACCTTGAAGTAGCAAATGCGCTGCTATGTAACAAGTATGAGCCGTCACGTCTGGTGATGAAGCCACAGGTTTTCGCCTTGAACTCGCTTGTTCGCACGCCAATCGGGCGTGGAATTGTTCGCAAGTTTCGTGGGATCGATGGCATCTATCAAGTACATTTGACGGAATGGTCGTTGTCGCCAACGCGTCATGAACGCATACAAGCTTATTTTACTGAAGAGAGCCTCACTGCTGCTGTAAGTACGTACACATCGCCTCCAGCGTCGAGCTCTTTACGCTACGTCAAGTTTTACCCAGCACCACCTGCCCGCATATATGCATCACACACGCTTGTAAAAACCTTGTTTGGAATCGGGCGTGTGATGAGTTATCGTGCCGAAGACAAAATTTACACGGTATCTATCCCTGGTGACCAGAATATGCTGCATTTAACGGCTTTTCTGAATGGGGATTCGCTGCAAGCTGTTGATGATGCGTTCTTGAAGAGTTATGCAACAAGCGATTTAGCGTCACCGCGAATGTTTGCAGGAGTTCGCTTTGGCATCGGGTTCATCACGAAGAAATTGATCACATTCGTACCTGGTAGTTCCGGCGTAAAACCATTGTTCTCCGTTGCGGTTGTAGTGGATTCGCCATTCGGGCGCGGAGCGGTCGTGAACTGTCGCGGAGAGGATCGTATCTACGAAATACGGCTGTTTCGCGACGAGAAGAAAACTCGAAGCGGCGATGTGGCTTCGCGCACAAGTGTGTTTGTACAGGAGCGGTGTTTGCAATTATCTCCTGTGTCTCCAACTCGAGGCTTTTTCTCTATGCTTGGGTTGGGCTCGGGTAAAAATACTGTTGCGCCAGTAAGCGAACCTACTCCGATTGGCTCTCTTGTGACCACAATATATGGCAAGGGGGTAATTTGCAGCTATCGTGCTGCTGATGGAGTTTACGCAGTTGCATTGACTGATCCGACGCTTGCCGACGGCCATGATGTGGTGGCATACCTTAGACGTGACTTTTTCAATCCTGCAGCTGTGCCCTTGGAAGTTTCTCCAGACACAAGTAAGGAGGCTTCGACAGAGAGAAAAGTCGGCTCTCCTCCAGGAAGTAGTGGCATCTTCCAGTTGTTTCGGTATGGGTTCACGGCTTCTAGCACAGAACCAGCGGGCGTTTCCGTTCCATATGCCGATGAGGCTGGCGTCGAGCGCCAGATCGATACCATCTTCGGTCTGGCCACTACCGCAATGAGTCGGCCGCACAACGGGTTTTACAAAGCGTTTCTTATGAACCCGGATTACAATGGGGCGGTTGCTTACGTGCAGGCAAACCATGCAAAGGAAGTAGCCGTCACCCCGAAACGGGCGAGGCGTAACACACTCGAGCTATTGGCTAGCCCGTTTAGCTATTTGCTTTCGAGCAACACATACGACCGGAGAGACACGACTGACACGAAGACATTATTTCCGAAGGGAACCATGGTAGTTACGTCGTTCGGTGAGGGCGTTGTACGCTTACACCGACGTTCGGATGACATTTACGTGGTGGACCTGCCGTCAATGTATGGTTTCTTCCGCGCGAGCAGCCTCAGACGTCTAGTCCGTGGCGTAGTCGGGCAGCCAGTCGATACAATCTACGGATCGGGAATGCTGGAACAAGTCCGCGAAGAGGACGGAGTTCACGTTGTCGCTCTACGACTTGGTCTGACTACTTCAGAAACCCGTGCATACCTGCACCCGTCCAGCGTAATCCGAGCCATTAAGGCATCTCGTGGTGATATGGTGATGACACCTTTCGGTTCGGGTGTTGTGATGCAGTATCGCTCACACGATCGCTTTTACTGCGTGGCATTAGACTGGAATTCGAATGGTCAGAGCCACGTATCGGCCTACATTGGCGAGGACAGTCTCTTGCGAACGGGTTTAGTGGAGAAACCTCCATCAGGATGCGTTGTTATGTAAGAAGCTGAGTAAGTTAAATTAAACGCAGGGTCGTTTCCGAGCGATGCAGCTTTTTGTCTCCAATCAGGAAGGCACATGTACACAAGGTACAGAGATTTGTCGATACACGCACGCTTGTTCCATCAGGCCGTCGTGATGTCGACTTCTCGGATCGACGAGTACAGAGTCCTTTTTACCATACCGAGTCAAGATTGCAGAAAACTCGTGCATCGAGCGAATCGTTGACTAACAAAGTGAACAAACCATTTTGGTTCGGAGGCACGTGCTCTCATACCCATGAATGTACATAGTGGCTACCCCCCTTGCACGTGTACGTATCATTCGATTGTTCGCCGACAGGTCTTTTATCTCCAACGAATGAGGCAAGAACTCTCGTCACCTTCACTGCTGACTCGCTGTATGGTCTCATGACATGGTTTCTGCTTTCGCTGCGTGCAACCCCCTGCAAACTAAACGAGCCAGTGATTGCAGCGATGCCAACCGTAACCAGGATCATTGCAAGCGCAGGCACCTCCCAAGACGTCTCGTTTTCACCTGATTCTCGGTTGCTCTTATATCGGCTACCTGTCCAGTTGTGCCGTGTATACCCTCTCTCATGTGGAGCGTTGACTCTACGCATCGTCCTGGTGTCTTGTGAGGGTACGTGTGTGGAGACAGTATTAGATAACGGCCACTTTATTGAAAATTGCCTCGTTTTTCGACGTGCTATGCCCAGGCACAATTCCTCAAACGGCGTCGCGGGTTCAGACTTTGCTCCAGATATTGACAGTCGTCAGCGCACTTTATGAACAGGCTTCCTGGGATCCAGCAAGGCGGGCAGACCACTTCTAACGCAACAATTGCTTGTACTCAGATCAACATCATCTCTTGTTCATACTTACATGGTCACTAGCTCAGGATGGCCGTGATCCTCCACCTGTATACAATCTGCTGTGTTTGGTGCAATAAACTAGAGCAGGTCGAACGTGACAACCCGCCTCAACCTCCGCAGCATTCGTGACAACCCGCCTCAACCTCCGCAGCATTCGTGACAACCCGCCTCAGCCTGTTTCGATTTCAACAGTACGTCGTAACTCACATCGCTGCTGCCTTTTGTTGGAGCTTTGCTACCGTGCCAGGAACGACCAGGATTAATTTAGTTCCGTTCCAGATGGTGATAAAAATTTGCAGTCTTCTGGTCACGCGCTTGACGGCGTCGTACTGTGTGGATATGCGTACAGCACACGCTAAAGTTTGTCCAGAACCGAACTTTCGGCTTCACCATCCGCAAACGACAAACATGCGTCGATAAGCCTTGGATAGGCATTTCCATTGTCTCGATTAGACGCCGGAAAACACAATTGCACGTAGAAACGATGCGTCTCCCTGATGGTGTCGATGCGTCGGCCCAGACCCATCGTTACACCCTAACAATAACAACCGAGCAAATGAACAAGGTGCCAACACGCTCCGTGCAACCGACTGTCTCTCATGAGAAGCCCCTTCATTTGGGAGCAAAACGGGACGGTGTTTCTATCACTGCAGTGGCAGCACGTCGACGAGCACTACAGTCAACGACGTCGTCAGTACCGTCGACGTGGCACTCTAACTTTTGTGATTGTTGGTGTTCAGTAGCCCCAACGTACTGCTGCAGTGTTACTTGCTGTCCTTGTATGACTTTTGCATCGGCGAAAGAGTCATTAGGAGGAAGCTACGAATGGACACTGCTCTACTTCGGATTCTTGTTCATCGGATCCTTAGTGTCTCTCGGACTTGCGGTGTGCAACAGCTCAAACGCTCCTCTCCACGACGTCAAGGCGGCACTTTTCTCCCCTGTGTCGGGTCCGCATGCAACGAACTTGAGGTTTTTGGCAATATGGGAGGGCATTTCAGCCGTGCTCTTGATGGTACTTCTCTTTGGTGTGTGGCGACTTCGCACTCAAACTCGACTTACTCTTGGCATTCAAGGCTCGCACGTTTTCGATTGCGTCGCGAGTTTTTGCTGCTGCTTCTGTGTCATCTCGCAACTGCATCTCGAACTCAAGTGTCAACATGATGAAGAACCGCCGATACAAGGCCGTCGGAACCGAAGAGCTGGCAACGTTATTACAACGGGCCCAGTTGATACGTTGGCTCCGTATGCAGTCATGTAGTCTCAAGAGACGTTGAAGAATTGCGTACCGAGGTGCTGCACGGACTGAGAATGTGGTGATCATATCCTGCTTTCGAGCGTGTTGGAAGCACATGAACAGCAGTGCGCGTCGATGAAGTCACGTGCATTTGACAACTGCCACCTTAGTAGCTACGATGGTGCTGAGGGGTGGCCTCTCACTCACTCTTTCGCTTCTACTGCTGTCTTTAGCGTAACACGTCGGCGGCCCACGAGGCCTGGACGGTCGACTGGCGTCGCTGCCGAGACAGCCCGTGAGTAACTTTGACCAGATTCGAGTGTAGGCTGGCAGATTAGATGACGAAGGCTACTTCGAAGTTTCGCACGCAGGCACAAAGCCACTCGTTCATGGACCAAGAGCTATTCCTGGATCTACCTGATGTCAATAAAAAGTAGTGCACTTTGTCGGCACCTACATAACTCTGGCGGTAGGGTATAAGCGTGAGAAGGAAGACCAAAACTTTGCCACTCATGTATCAAATCCGTTACTGCTGTCGTGCATGCCAATCGATCAGCTGCAGCAAGGATCTTCCACATGACGACATGTTTTTGTCGTCGACCAAAGCGACGACATCTTCAGTACGGGCCACACTAGCTGCCAAAGTTCAAGTTTTCTTACATCGGTACGATCATTTGTGAATCTGTGTGCCGAACCAAGAAACTTCCGCTCGATAGAGCCTGGGTGTTTATGCAGAAACCACTTACAAGCCGTAAAAGCTGTGCTTCTCAGGGCAACATTCACGTCGTGGAGATACTAATTGCTAAAAGATGCTGTCGAGGCAACATGTTAAAGAACAATTGTAGCTGACGTTTCAATCTTGGTTTGTCTCATTGTTCCTCCCTGATTTCGTAGTGTAACACACGACTGCCTTCTCGTTAGATTAAACCACACTAACATTGCGAGAAATGTGTATTAATTTGAGGGGCTGCAGTAGAGAAGGTGATTTCTAAAAAGAGAGACCGTTCACGGTAATTACCGGGCAAGCGACAAGTGTAACGGGGTAGCCCATTACATGATAGTGACACCAAACGGCGTCAATAGGGATATTGTCTAGCATGACAATTCCCTACCAACATTATCTGTAACGGGGTGAATCGTTACATAACAATTTATAAGAAATTGTTAATAGAATATAACTATAAGAGTTATATTCTCAGAATATTGTCATAAGGACAATATTCTGTAGCACTTCCAAGTAGTTCCTAATTGGTTGATATAGGCCATTATATCAACCAACGAAGACGCGCCACGACAGACGCACGCAATGAGTGGTGAGCAGATAACTGATTTACACATTTGTATTTAGACATAGTTAGATGAAGATAAATAGTGATTTATTGCAGACATTAACTATTATAAATACAGTTCTACTTTTTACTCTAACCGAGTACTCGCTTCTTCTTACCGTCTTCCTCTGCACGTACGAGTGTACGTGAAGTTACGAGGCACCGCCTTATTCTGTTATCAGACTAAGTAGCTTGTACTGTCACCAGTACAAGCTTCAGGGTGCCCCGTTACACCTGGTAGCACTTTGTAGTCCGTCCAAGGACCGCGTTCACATCCAACATGAATATGTTGGATGATGAAGATGACCAAAGCTTTCACGCTACGCGTGACGGCTACTCCCATTTGAGCGATGTCGAATGGGATGCGGTTGAACGAATGGGTTCGACCATGGGCATCCATGCTGTTAGCGTCATGCTAGAGGCTCTCAATAGAGATGCCCAACATGCTACTATCGCCAAGTTCATTCAAAATGAACTTGACGCAGAACGCGAGAAAGTAGCCTTGCTTCACCAACAAGGTTCTCAACAAGCAGAGTTGTTGAGAGAACAAGGTGCTCAACAGCTTGAACTGTTGAGACAGCAGCAGGCTGCTGCTGGTGGGTCGATGCACTCGCGTCGACCCGAGACTTTGAAGATTGACATCTCAAAGTATAGGGGGGTCGAAGAAGACTCCCTCTTGAGATGGTTCGTCGAATTGGATGACGCCATAAGGGCGCGTCGCATCGACGACGGGGATATGCAAGTTGCATTTGCCCAGTCAAATCTGGCAGGACGTGCCAAGACTTGGGCACTGGGGCTCAAGCTGCACGACCCATATGCGTTTGGGTCGTTGGAAGTCTTCAAGTCGCGGCTCAGACAAACGTTTGAACCGCCTAGAGCTGAGTTCAGAGCTCGAACCGAACTCTTGAAGCTCAAGCAGGGTAAGCGTGATGTGCACGCTTACGCTCAACATATACGACATCTCACGAGTTGTATAAGTTCCAATCCGGTGGATGAACACACGTTGGTTTCGGTGTTCATGCAGGGTCTTGCGGATGGTCCCGTCAAGACTCACCTGTTCCGGCTTGAACTAGATTCACTAGAACAAGCCATTTCAATTGCGGAGCAGGAAGACTTCAATCTGAGACAGGCTCGCGCCAGCTCGACATCATATCGTCAACCGAGACGATATGACAACGGAGGTCCAGAGCCGATGGAACTCTGTTATGTAGAGAGCGAGAAGGCTCGCTCTACAGGCTACAAGAAGTTGCAGAGATGCAACAGATGTCAAAAGACAGGACACTACGCTTACGAGTGTAGTGCCCCTCGTCCAGTGTCTCGCGACACTGGGCGTAGTGACCGTCCACCCATGAGAAAGGGGCAGGGACGAGGGTCCGCAGTTGGTGCAAAGACGCAACAACGGGATGGACCGTCAAAAAACGGACAGGATCAGTAGGTGCGGAGCACCCTACTGATCCAGCAACGTCAAGAGAATTTGTAGGCCTCTTGATGAAGGTTGCTCCCAACACACAGACATTGTGCGTTGCTGCTCTAGGTAATGAGATCTCACTCATTACCTTGAAACTCGAAGTGACGAATAAGTTGTCCCTTCGAGCTCTAGTCGATTGTGGGGCGTCCAACAATTTTGTGCGACGCCAATCGCTAGAAGATGGTCACTTTAAATTCAGTGAATGTGACACACCTCCTACGAGGATGACGGTACGTCTTGCGACAGGCGCATCCGTAACCGTCATGAAGCGTATAGTGAAGATTCACTATACACTAGAAGATACCCAATACGACGATGACTTTATCGTATTGGATTTGGATGACAAATTTGATGTCATCCTTGGAATACCGTGGCTCAGAAGGTACGAACCACGGGTAAACTGGCAACATCGGACAGTAACGATGCCTGCCGCTTGTTCATCAGATGGCCATCTGATGAACGTTTTGGAGCGTCCACAAGCGTGTGGATGTACTACGAGTGAGTGCGATGGCCTCACTTGTGGTACGGTCGTTAATACGACGGCACAAAACCATAGTGGACCAAACAACGCCACCCCGGAGGAAAAACCGGGGGGGGGGGGGGAAACAAGCCGCGGCGGGGGGGGCCCACCACCAACAAAAAAAATCGGGTGGACTGGGACAAAGATGTATCCCTAGAGGGGAACATCTAGAAGAGAAACAATCGATCGCTCAGGTTAAGCGAAACGATAATCCTAGATCGACTGGAGAGTCTTTCGTAGAGGATCTCGCTGTGGTTGCGCAACCCCAGCTAGAGGAAGTAAAGGGAATAAGTCCCAAGATTACAAATACGGCGGAAATAAGTTCCCCGAAACCCGCGGGAATAAGTCCCCGGGAAGACGAAGGAATAAGTCCTTCGAAGCCTGAGGGAATAAGTCCCCAGGAAATGACAGAGACATTGAATGTCATAGTCAATAACGGATCATGTTTAGGCGCTTATACACTTGATCTGATTGCGCCTCCGAAGTTAACTTCGGAGATCACTCAGTTGCCAACGCTCGAACATAAAAGGTTCTTGCGTGATCTGCGTAGTGGCAAAGTCAAGCAGATCTGCATACTCGTCGCTGACGACGAGTATGTAACCGACATAAGGTCAGCAACAGTGTTTACTGAGAACGAGAGAGTTCTCAGTAGTTCATCTATGGACGAGAGTGTCCTAGATGAAAAGACACGAATTGAGCGATATGAGTCCCAATCATGGGAATCGCTCAAGGAAAATCCTCTCTATGAAGATTTGGTTGAATTCAAGGATGTATTCCCTGAAACTGTTCCGTGCGAATTACCGAAGGATAAAGGTATTCGACACGAAGTCGAGCTTAAACCAGGCTCGAAGTACTGTGTCATGAAGCAGTGGCCACTGCCTCGTGAACAAGTACTTGCGATCGACAAGTTCTTTGCCGATCGTTTAGCAGCGGGCCATGTGAGGGAATCAACTTCCCCACATAGCTCTCCGACCTTCTGTGTGCGAAAAGCAACAGGAGGGTGGCGGATAGTGCACGCGTTTAACAAATTGAACGCTGCAACGGTACCGGCTCAGACGCCGATACCGAGGAAGGACGTAATCATTGATGGTATGTCAAAGAGTACCATCTTTTCGTCCATGGATTTGATGGATGGCTTCTATCAAATCCTAATGCGGGAACGGGATATACCCTATACCGCAGTTAGCACGCCTAGCGGCATGCTCTGGGAATGGCTAGTAATGCCACAAGGGCTCAGTAATGCCCCTGCCACGTTCAACAGGTGTGTATCACATCTGTTGAGGCCAGTACGAGAATTCGCGCCGAGTTATTTCGATGACGCATTCATCCATAGTCGAGCTATGGATGGAAAGTCGGACGTTGAGGTTCACAAGTACCACGTCCGACAAGTTCTTACAATCATGCGAAAGCATCAATTGTATGCAAACCTCAAGAAGTGTATATTTGCAGCAAGCGAAATACCACTTCTTGGGTGCATCGTTGGTAAGAACGGTGTACGTCCTGATCCCGAAAAGATCAAGGCGATCGCCGACTGGCCCGTGCCGGTCGATGTCAAAGGTCTTCGAAAATTCCTTGGGCTAGCGGCGTATTTGCATAAGTATTCACGCAATTACGCCGAGATGACTGTACACCTCTCTCGTTTGTTGAAAAAGAACGAGAGGTGGTTATGGAACGCTGAATGTCAACGCTCCTTTGAGGGTATCAAGCA